GGGTGCAACTGGTAGGACAATAACTTTCTGAGGGGAGGAGGTGTGAACCTCTTAAATCGAATGTGCTGATAGTGGTGTAGGAATGTGAAACCACAACCTAATGAATAACAGATAGCAGCCTTTAGGCAATAACACCAATGGGATGAGGTCAGTGGTGTTAATACTTAATGAATACACATATTTTAAATATTTTCACAAGTAAATCACTTTACTACTTACTGTAGTAGGAATTTTCCCATCTTCAGGTAAAATAATGTGTTTGGTTTTCTATTGATTTTAGGCAGTTATTCCAAGTGCAATTCTCTAAAGGGATTTGATACTTGCCTTCAGAATCTGCATAGAGCCTCAGGCTTTTCTCCACCTACAGAGCAGTTGCAGGTGTCAAAGTTGCTGTAAATAGTCCTGGGACCAGTATTATGCATCTGTAGGAGGGCTTGGTCACAATGTGAGAAATCATTAGCCCTTCTTGTCAGTTGTTAAGGAGCTGGAGCTGTCCCAACCTCTGCATCTACTCTGTGTATCACATGCTTAACTGCTGAAAGCCATACAAATACTAAGGGTGTCTGCAGGGTCCACATGCCAGCAACTGCTTCGGGAAAACAAGAACTGCAGCTCACTAGTCCTGCAAGGAGCACTGTATAATGTAGTGGTAAAGGCAGAAGAATAAATGTCACCTAGTCAGTCTATGATTTATAAGTTTATTTACCACAGCTCATACTGTTTCATGACAACAGCCTCCATAAAGAAGGTTTCAGGAAAAGTTTCAGGGCAGGCTATCTGCAGTTTTTCCATGAGGGCAGCTAGGCTGCAGTTGGAATGCAAAACGCCAAACTAGTTAAGTCTGGTGAACTACAACAGGTTAACTCCCTGGCAGAGTCAGATTAAAATAAAAGCTTTGGCAGCAAGTCTTTCTTGCGTATAGTGAGTCCTTCCCTCTGCACTTGTTTTTTCGGCTGAGCACCTCTGAGTTGCCTGCTGCAATGCAATAAATTCCTCCTGGGCTCCTCTGGCACTGGGAAGAGCTCTTCTACGGCAGTCTGGCAGTACAGGCACCTCCTGCTCCTCTTGCACACCTCCCGGGTTGCATCCCCCTTGTCTGCTTTGTCTTTCCCTCTTGTTTGCCTCACCCTGTTGCCACAAGCTGCTGGCAGTTCGATGTGCCCTCTGCTCTCTGGGAAGCAGCAACGATCCCTCCTCCTGAAAGGTTTTGTCTGATAAGAGCACCCAAGACAAAGCAAAAAACCCACCCTTCTCCCTGCTGCCCGCTCACAGCCCTGTAACAAAATGTTTTGCTATACAGCTTACCTTAATATTAGTATAGTAAACTATGAGCAAACAGATGAGATCACTCTGCTATCCATTACAGAAATTTAAAGAGATCTGAGCTGCGCTGAGCATCATCTTCTCTGCTCAGAAAATTTAATGGCAGGATCTAGAGCTTATGGTACTACAGCAAATGCCAGGGTGCAGCTGAGCAAAAAGGGGCAGGAGTCTGCAGGCTGATGGGCAGAGAGCGAATGGAGGAGCAGAGTAGAGTGGGAAAGAGATGATGCTGAGAGCAGAAGAGTTCAAGGGGAGTTAATAACTCTACATAACCTTTTTTTAATATAGCAGCAGTGCGCCAGATGTAGAATAGTCTGCGCAGGGTAGCAGAGACCTCTCATTAGAAAGAACAACGCTTCAGGTCTGAGCCAGGCTTTAACAAATGATTCCCGTTTCAGGTGAGCACTGCTGACAAGGCTGTTCTGTCAAGACACAGAGCCCAGCGGGCCTGTGCTGCTGTGCTCTGGTTTATGCCTCTACCAATTGGGCCCCACAATATTCACGGGCTCAGCTTCCCCCTGACTTCATGAGGAGCAGCATCTGACCTCTGTGAACATCCATCTTTCCACAAGCATAAGAGCAGAGAGTAAAAGATAGAAATCGTATCACATAATCCCCCCAAAATTGGCAGAGGCCTGGAGCAATAAATTGAAAGTAAAATAAAGAGCATAAGCAAAAAATCATCACAACTATCTAGAAATAGAATCGAAGTGAGAGGGTCATCAGTATGCCTAAGAAAAAGTCTGGGCAAACTACAAGAGACAAGAAAGGCAATTAAACAGATAAACAGCAGCTGCAGGAAGCTACATGAGTTCTTTGAACCATTTCCCTGTGGTTCATGGTGGGAGGAAGGTAAAAATTCTTCTGGGAACTCCCTTCAGGTAACCAAGGCATAGCCATGGCATGGAGCGAGCTCTCTGAGGAAGAGGTGTTGGAGCAAGTAGAGACACTTATTAGCAGTCACTCCTTGGGGCTTGATGTTGTTCTTCTGAGAGATGAGAATGAAGTGGAAACAAAGAAAGTAGCTGAACTAACAGAAGTGCTGGTTATCAGCACAAGGCGTGCGACCGAGACCTGGTGGGTGGGTATATTCTGACTCCTGTCTTTATAAAGGGAATTTACAGAGTGCTGGTACCATTTCAGCTGAAAGGAAAGTGTTTAGATAAAAGTTATTAAAGGCAGGTTCATAGGCTGCATGGAGACAGCTAAACAAATAGAGAAAAATTATGGAAGTGCTACTACTGCTGCTAATAACAGTTCCTACAAATAATGGCATGTAGGATGCCGAGTGATCTTGAGTAGTCTAGAAAGCAAGGAAAATACTAGGGAATTTATTGACACTATGTGTCTGTTCTCCTCCTGATAGTGATCAAAGTCTTCCAGAAAAAACACTGCTTCCCCCTGCCCCCTCTATAGCACAGCTCACTAAGGAGATACTTGTAGGAAAGGAAAAATTTGTGGGTGATTTGTTCATGCCATGGAGCAGGCAATTAATGAATGCTTTTGAATTACCTGTGCTGACACAATTACAAATGTTAGCATTCATGAAGCTATCACCCTTTTAAAAAAACAAATGCCAAGTCCTCGATGCTTGTGGTCTCCCACTGCAGCGACATGCGCAAGCCAACAGCAGCACCAGAAGGTATCATTGCTGTGCTCTGGTTTATGCCTCTACCAATTGGGCCCCACAATATTCAAAGGCTCAGCTTCCCCGTGACTTCATGAGGAGCAGCATCTGACCTCTGTGAACATCCATCTTTCCACAAGCATAAGAGCAGAGAGTAAAAGATAGAAATCGTATCACATAATCCTCATGGTGTCCCAGGCTGACAGCTCCCCACTCTGTCCCAGCCTTCCTGCAGGAGGGCCAGTGGCCTGGCGGACCACGCGCAGTTCTCCTTCCTTACCCAAAGGGTAAGGGATTTGGAGCCGACCTGCTGAGTTTCTGTCCTTTTGAGCTTCCTGTCCACTATAAAAGAGGAGCCTGCCAGAGTGCCAAGGGCTTCAGGTTGCTCCTACGCTAACACAAATACAGAGTGGCATCATGAAATCAAAGAAGTTACAATGCTGTAAGCACAGTGAGAATAAAGCCCTAAAATTGTCCTTAATGAGTTTAGATTGGCTTCTTCCTAAGCATTCTTCAGGCTTTTTATTACCAGGTCGCTCTGGGCAAGCTAATAATCACAGAAACTGTACAGAACCTTGAAATGGAATGGATTAGCTGAGCTTAACAAACAAGGTACTTCTCTGTTTCTTAAGCAAGATTTTGTGGGTAAGTTAATATAAACTAATATTCATTGATGTTCTTCGTCCAAACAATACGTGCTTGTTTTTACCTCATTCCTACCATTAGATCAGCCGTGCAAACAGCCTGTTGCTGTTGTTTAGAGCAGGCAGACCCAGCCTGAATCCTAGATGGCGAATTTCCATAGCTGACCACTTGTGCCTAACTCTTCTTAGCGCAAACCAGCTCACTGTTAAAACAGCTATACTGAGTTAAACCAGTTACCTACAACTATACTGAGTTAAAACAACGAAATGCAGAGAAACTTTGGATTTGTTATAAGCAAGCTAAGCTTTGAAAGGCTCTTACTGCTACAAACTGTTTCCTAGTTTCTGCCTAAAATGCTTTTTCCTCAGGTGATGTATTTCTACCAAGCAATCACGCCCTTTTCACTTGGCAAGCACTGGTTCCCCCAACTCCCACCCCTTCAGTTTTGTACAAAGCGAAAATTAACATGGTTTCATTGGCAGAGCAAGAACTGTTTATTCAGGCATTTATTAACTGGGGAAGTCCTGCATGCTCAGATTTGCCATTTTTCGTAACACATGCTTCACTCTGTAACCAAACTTCTCCCACCCAGAAACTCCTGATCGGAGGTCCAAGTGGTGGCCTGATTACTGGTAGTAAACTGATAGTATGCAGAGCACTTAAAATGAGCTATGTCTCAGTACAGAGCTGGGACCTTTCACAGTCAGCAGTGCTATCTGTTTCTTCCAGTCATGTTACCAGACAAGAAACATTTCTAAACTCCTGACCTAAAACTTGCTCTTCCCACGCACATACTCCTTGGTCTGTAATCTGTAGATTATCTAGTAATCTCCTGTGCTCCCACTAGCTCCAGATCATAACACTGCATTTTGACGTACTTGCAGGATTGCAGGCAAAATGAAGTTTTACGGCCACAGTAGCTCTTTTAAGTTAGGAACCACCCCAGTAGCAACATTAAACTACCATTGTAAGATTATGATGAACTGGGAAGGTGAATTTGGGGATTCATCCACTTTTCGTCATGTTTCAGGGCTGATGTACACATGGGTAAGTAAAAAAAAGATAAGGTGGCTGTAGCTGTCTCCAGATACCTCGAGATGTGATGCTTAATGACATTTCTACCCTGTGGACCACTAAGGACTATCTCCAAGAGACCTACTAATGTGACAAAAAATCCCCAAGCCCACTGCCCATAAACTTAAATTCAGCATTCAGGGTTCCAGATCTTCACTAAATGTCCACAAAAAGGTTGAAATCTCTTAATAGAGGTGAAGGACAGTAATTAGCCACCATAGGCTATCACCATAAAAAACAGGAGAAGCATCAGTAATTTTTTGACAGCAGTGAGATAAAGGCCCTTCCCATTACTTAAATGTGGCCTCTTTGCAATGTTTCTGTCTTGCAGAGAAGTTGTTACTTTCAACCACTTCCTGGAAGAAGCAGCAGAAAAAGAAGTGCGGGGAAAAGCCAGACTCCAGCACTTCATTGAGAACCTGTTGCAACGCGTGGATCTGGCAGAAAGGCAGCTAGAATATTACCAAAATCAGCAGATGGTATGCAACCACACCAACATCAGCGAGCACGTGGTAAGCCAGCAAAGTCCTTCCCTTCATTGTCACCCACCACCAGAGGGAAAGTACTTGAGTTTGAATACGGGTGCGCCCAGTGGGTCAGGCTCATTGCTACTCCAGACAGATCTGGATTTGTGAAACGTTTCCTTAGACTTGTTTTATTTATATTTTAAACTGCTACTTCACATGAGTGAAAGGAGCAGAGGTTGGAAGAGCAGCAATAGCCAAAGATGGCAAAGGGAGAGCAGAGAATAATGAAATATTTGCCAGATACTTAATTTTTTTTTCCAGCTTTGGCTATTGCTGCTGTTACCTTTGCAACAAACACTTTCCTTTATGTCACTTAGTGACTTGGCAGTTTTTTGGAGATGTCTAAAGATTTTCAGGAAAGATGTGGATCCCTACAGAGGACATGTCAGCCTGCTGGCAAATCAGCTTGCTTTCTGTAGTAACCTATCACAGGACTCTTAGAAATGGTGAATGGATTCCCACAGGCCTGTCCCCCCAAGATTAGAAATCAAAGCTGTCTGAACATTGTTTTTTAAAATACATGATTTCTTTAAAAGTCCTCATTATTAATACTTAAACTCAGTATTTTCGCTACAATGCATTACATTTATATGGCGAGTTTTATCCACATGACTTCCAAAGAACATTTCAGTTTAAATGAATAACCCATGCTTCCTATGCTAAGTAACTGCTCATCCTGGGAGGTGAGAGGAAAGGCATTTGGTCACGCACAGCACTGAACAGGTATGTAATGGTGGAAAGCAAAGGTTCCCATAGCCACTTGGAAGACAAAGAACTTTAGGCAAGGCCTGAATAAATGTAGGTGTGCTGAAATCTAACGCAGGACATCTCAAACAGTGTCTGCGAGAACACTGAGGGGGACTGTAAAGATGGGCCTCGGTATTAAATCATCTCCCCTGATCTTGATGTGTTTACCGGGATCCCTGGCTCAGCAGTGTCCCGTGGGGAAGGCACTAATTTTTGAGGCAGCTGCCCTGCTTTCTGAGTGACTTCAGCATTCCTCTAAGGTCATCCATCCGAATATTGACCAGCCTGACCTTCAGGAGGTAATTACAGAAAAGCACACCATGAGATGGCTCCAGACTCCATCCAAGACGGATGACAAGCAAAGTTAGACTGGGCAAAAATCCATCTGCAAAGTGTGGACAATACCAGGGACAGAGGGAACATTTATGAGAACATAATCATTTTCAGATGCTAAATCTGACTTGCTTGGCTCAGTGACTTCATTAAATGATATTCAAAGGCTCAGTCCAGTAGCACTGATGGGAGATCAGTACAAAGAATTGATTTAGTACCCAGACCGATTTAGGCTGAGCTGGCATTAAACACCTCCTTTCCTGACCTCCACTAAAAGAGGGACTAAACAAAGTGTTTCCACGCTGTGAACCAAACTGTTGTAAAAAATGAAGTCATGCGAAGTTGTGCTGGCACTGAGGCTATGTTGTTCCTAGCTGGTCTCAGGATTTGGGGCGGGAAGGGACAGAAATGCTTGCGTTCTCGCCCTCCACCCTTCAGTGCCACTGTAGGCAGAGCCAAGGGCTTGTAGCTGGAGTTTCCTAGCCGCTTGTGTGAAGGAAATGTATCGCTGCAAAATTAAAGGCTCTGAGAGGAAGTTAATTTAATATAGCTTATTCAGGCACTGTCCCTTATTAATTATCTTGAACACAATAATTACTTCTCATTGTATCCATACTGTTTAATCTAATGTGAAGGATCTCTGTTCAGCCCACATTTCTTTAGCAATTTACTTTGATTATAGTTATGATAAAAATAATGGGGAAAAAATCCAACCACTAACAACTCACGTTATGAATTTTGAAAACAGATGTAATAAGTTGGAGTAATAATCTGTAAAAGGTTTTTTTTTTTCCCCGTTTCTTTCATGAATATTCTTCTAGTTTTAACAGCAGGTGAGAATGGAAATAGGATTTTGAAGACTGCACATATTTTATCCCTGTACTTTAATTACTTGATAATGTAATATTAATATTAATAACCTGTTTCTATTTTCTTTGCAGTTTACAGACATTTCATTAAATAAGAAACCCAGATGCCTGTATGTATATGTTTTTATTTTTCTCTTACTTCAAGATACTAACTTGACATGCTTACGTTTCTGCTTTTGCATTTCACCTTATCCAAAAGCCTGAATCAGGTTGGGTTTGGATCAGGTTCTATATCAGAGTATGATCTATATTTATGTCACGTAATAGAGGAAAAACAGATTTCTGCTAGATCAAAGCTAAAATTAGATATTCTGTAAAGAAAAAAAGAATAATAATTTTCTGTTAAATGAATGACTCCTTCCTG